GAGGAGCGGCGGAGGCCGCCGCGCCGCGCTGCGCTGCGCTGCCCTGCCAGGAAGGGGTGATACTCTTCAACTTCTCCGTCTGCAGATGCAAACTCATCCCATTGACTCCAGCGAAGTTACATCTGCCTGTAACAGGGCTAAATTTGGTTGTGGAGCTGATGGTATCAAGGCAGATGTCAGTGAGTAATGAACTAAGCATTACCCATCACGCAACCATTTAGTGTCAGTCTTCATTAACAAACCCAGGCAAAAAAGTACACGCGTTCCCAGGACTTCACTAGCAAAGCACGCTCTTAAAATAGAGGCATATCCTTTAAAAACCTTCTTTACTTAAACATAGAAAATTATTGCTATTGGAAGGGGAACTTTTTGGAAAGCGGGCCGTCTTTCTAAAGAGAAATCTGAATCAGTGATGAAAAACTATTTCTACTTCTCTTTTTGTCCCCTTTCATTTTTGACATGCAAAATAAGTTGGCTTTGTTCAGTTGTGAAATCCTTTGAACTTTTGTGATTAAAACCACTATATTAGGAAGCAAAAGTCACGATAGGAAGAAATAGTCTGTAATGACTTTAGGAAGTTTTACACCAGAAATGGGTTAAAGTATTTTTTTTTAACTCCTGCTACGTATTCACTTAGTACATTTAAAAGCAAACCATATGCATTGCGTTAATTGAATTTAGAATTTCCCATTAAGTCCTGTAAGTACACGTCTTGTTTTCCCGGGGGACTTTTTAGAGGAAATGTTAGGTGGGGATGAGACAAGAAGAATGGAGCATTTCCTCGATCAGGGATTAATTCTGGGTAGGTGGCAGGATCCCCAGGAGTTTGGTGAAGGTTTCGAAGTTTTAATTGGGAGTAGCATCTCAAGTTTATCAAGTACTCTTGCGTTACCATCATCATTGCCTACCGTTGTTCCCACCGAAGGAAAAACTCGCTGCGGATTTCTGCCAGTATTTTTCAATAATGGACATATTTGCTGCATCTCCGTAAGTTTTCTTTACAGAAAAGTTTTCTGATCTGTCTTTAAAAAAAAAAAAGGAAACTGACAGGAATGCGGTGGACTGCTCAGTTCAGTGTTTTTATTCCTAGCATTGCGTGACAAATGATCATTTTCTATATGCACCAGGTGGGAAGCCAGCTAAAATAAAACGAAGTTTAGCTCCAGTCTCTGGCTCTGCACTTTTACGATGCTACACAGCTAAAGCTTTTCTTGGGCTTAAGAAAGGTACGACGTAACATCTGAGAGTAAAGCGGCCTGGCCGGTTATAAAGCGGGCTTTACCGAGCTCTTTGAATTCCCGAAAGTCAAAGGCTACGAGCCGGGGTTGCGTTGCTTTAGTGGGCCTGCTGCGCCGGTGGAAAACAGGCTGGGCTCAGTCGCGGAGGAAGGGGCAGGCTTTCGCATCCCCGGCCCGTGATGGGTTTATGCCTACAGAGGTCACTCTTCCAATGCAGAAGAGGCGGCTGCTCTGGCCTCGCCTCTGCCAGCTCCGACCTGCTTTCGCTTTTTTAACTTGCCTTGATAGCTTTTATTAGCCATCAGTGAAATGAAGGTATCCGAGCAGCTGAATTCAGCCCATCTCACAGTGCCTGGGGATATGCTTCCTTTATGAAATACAAGTTGTGTTTCCATTTGGCTAATTCTAAACTATCTGACTACAAAAAAGGTTTGGATGTTGTTAATGGTAGATCTAATGATAATATCTAATTACTTTTCCAACTTAAATGCACGCTTAAAAATAGGTTGTGCTGTTGATGTAATTGAGTTTTCTTGAGTGATTCATTGAGGCTTAATCACCGCAGTGAAGAAGTACACTATTAAAATTAGTCTTTTCAATTGCTGGGGCTAGTGATTTATAGGCCACTTGGAGACCCGTAGTTCGAGGAAGCTTACAAATGCATTACCGATATTGCTGCCGGTGAGACAGCTCCACTCCTCCGAGCAGGATTTCTTACTAATTCTTGTCACAATTGTTTGCCTGAAGGATACGGAATAATTTCTCCTTAGACGAGGTTGTCCTCGCTCTGGATTCAAGCTGCATGTTAGCTCGAGAAGTAAGCTGCTGAATGGATCTTGGCGTAGTATCATAATAAAGCGCCTTTTTAGGTTTGAAATAATAACTATCTTTGGTGCCGGTTAATTTATTCAGGGAAGCTGTGCATTTAACTCTATTGAAAGCCTCAACACATAAATCTGCTGAACAGGTAGGCAATTAAATGCTGGGAGAAGTTGTTAGTCAGGTTAATATAAAGTGCGAAATAATAAATTTTAGGTTAAGGTGAATGCGTAAACTGAACTGGTTCAGCACTGAAGTTTAGAGGTTGTAATTTCTAGCAGGTGGCTGGGATGGAGAGCACGCAGTAGCTGTTTGAAGGCAGAGCTCCCTCCCCCATCCCCCCCCCTCCCTTTTTAGAGATCTGCTTTCATTGCCTCGACCGAATCACAAGAGGTGTGTTTTAAGTGACGTGCAGAAAAAAAATTATACCTGCGACTTTATTGCTTGGGAGGTTAAAAGTCATTGTTGCAGATGGCTTTGGTAGACTTTACAGACTTCTCATCTGAAGAACCTTAGATCTCGTGATCTCGAAAACACAGAGGAAAAATTACCCTGTAGACTTAACTCCTGTTGACATTTTTTAATGGGGGACTTTCTGCCTGTGTTGTTTCTGCCAAGACAAACAATGTATATAAGATAGCACGGATCACCTCGGTTTCACCTCACAAGGGCTCAGCACCGCCTTTGACAGGCGGGACAGCACCTAGTGTTACGGGGCGCCTTTTAGTCAAACGGCAGAGAAATCTCATTCAAAAAACCATTGCTTATGTCTAAGCGTCGCTATTCCCTGCGTGCTATAGGCCGGTGAGCAAAGCGGCTCCCCCTTAGTGACATGTGGAAGGTTATCCTCACAAGTGGTGGGTTTGACACTGATTACGTTAGATTATATAGCTGTTCTTCTCTCCCTCTGATAACCCGTCATATATGGGATATTTCACAGCCCGTCTCCGAATGAATGCTAACATGTCAGAAACTGATAAAATAAACTACAATTGATGACCCTGTTAAATGGTCTATTCAGTAGCACATAGACTAGTCTGCTTCTCATTGTATCTGAAATTCTTATTTTTGTAGGTAAACAAATGCACATTCACTACCGATTGAATAGCCCCTTGAACTATGCTCCGCAGTCTGCATTTGGGTTAATCTTGTCGGTTTTAATATAGAGAGGAAAAAAGGAGAAAGCACCAGGGGTGGAATTGTTAGTGCTTTCACATCCACATTCCTCACATTTTGTCAGGATGATAAACTGTAGGTAATGGACAGCCGTTGTTTCACAGGACAGGCGAGCCAGCCGGAGCACAAAGAGCTTGCTAAAACGATATCTCACAACATGTTTGGGAGCCTCTCGGCTAGACAAGAATTTATTTGGGAGCCCTGTGTCATGGGACCGCACTTTCTAACCTCAGCAATCACAGCTTCAAGCTGAAGAAACAGGAGTGGAAGGTTAAAATGATTTAAACACATGCTCCTAAATTGTACCCAAAACATAGCTGTTGACACTTGGCATGCTAATACAAGGAGTGAGTGGTGGCTTCCAGTCCATTTGATATCTCTGGCACTCGTAGCCAGGTCTCCGAAGCGCAAGTGAACTAGCAAGATGAATTCAGAACAAACCGAAGGCCGAATTCTTGAGCTGGTTGTTTTCCCCAGCCTTTTTTTATACGTGGCGTGTAATTGCTATATTAGTTATAGTCATTATCTTAAAGCATGTTATCTGTAAGCTGTGCTACGTTATTTCACTTCGTTTAATGAAGTAATTGCCTTTAGAAAGGCAGTGACTAAAAGTCAAGCTAAAATCACTTAAGTTCTCCGTCTTCCCACACACAAGAATGCCTCCCTCCC